CGCTCCTTCAGCTCCTTCTTCTCCTGATGAGAGATCAGCTCATGTTTAACTGTGAGCTCACGTGAGTAAAGGCTGTGGTGATTTATTAACACGTTTGTGCTGCAGCACCTTCTTCCTCTGCGAGATGAGCCGCTCCGCTGCCTCCACGTCTCCTCGACAGGCTCTCAGACCCAGACGCGCCTCCTTCCTGCTCCGACCCAGAGTCCTCAGTTGGAGCATCTTCTCAGGGTCCAGACACAGCTGACCGAGCAGCTCCTCCACCTGACCAACACACACAGACGAGTCAGATTCTACAAGAATCCAACGAGTCATATTTAGAAGAATCAAACTAGTCATACTCTAGAAGAATCAAAGGAGTCATATCTAGAAGAATCAAAGGAGTCATACTCTAGAAGAATCAAACGAGTCATACTCTAGAAGAATCAAACGAGTCATATCTAGAAGAATCAAACGAGTCATACTCTAGAAGAATCAAATGAGTCATACTCTAGAAGAATCAAACGAGTCATATCTAGAAGAATCAAACGAGTCATATCTAGAAGAATCAAACGAGTCATATCTAGAAGAATCAAACGAGTCATATCTAGAAGAATCAAACGAGTCATATCTAGAAGAATCAAACGAGTCATATCTAGAAGAATCAAACGAGTCATATCTAGAAGAATCAAACGAGTCATATCTAGAAGAATCAAACGAGTCATATCTAGAAGAATCAAACGAGTCATATCTAGAAGAATCAAACGAGTCATATCTAGAAGAATCAAACGAGTCATATCTAGAAGAATCAAACGAGTCATATCTAGAAGAATCAAACGAGTCATATCTAGAAGAATCAAACGAGTCATATCTAGAAGAATCAAACGAGTCATATCTAGAAGAATCAAACGAGTCATATCTAGAAGAATCAAACGAGTCATATCTAGAAGAATCAAACGAGTCATATCTAGAAGAATCAAACGAGTCATATCTAGAAGAATCAAACGAGTCATATCTAGAAGAATCAAACGAGTCATATCTAGAAGAATCAAACGAGTCATATCTAGAAGAATCAAACGAGTCATATCTAGAAGAATCAAACGAGTCATATCTAGAAGAATCAAACGAGTCATATCTAGAAGAATCAAACGAGTCATATCTAGAAGAATCAAACGAGTCATATCTAGAAGAATCAAACGAGTCATATCTAGAAGAATCAAACGAGTCATATCTAGAAGAATCAAACGAGTCATATCTAGAAGAATCAAACGAGTCATATCTAGAAGAATCAAACGAGTCATATCTAGAAGAATCAAACGAGTCATATCTAGAAGAATCAAACGAGTCATATCTAGAAGAATCAAACGAGTCATATCTAGAAGAATCAAACGAGTCATATCTAGAAGAATCAAACGAGTCATATCTAGAAGAATCAAACGAGTCATATCTAGAAGAATCAAACGAGTCATATCTAGAAGAATCAAACGAGTCATATCTAGAAGAATCAAACGAGTCATATCTAGAAGAATCAAACGAGTCATATCTAGAAGAATCAAACGAGTCATATCTAGAAGAATCAAACGAGTCATATCTAGAAGAATCAAACGAGTCATATCTAGAAGAATCAAACGAGTCATATCTAGAAGAATCAAACGAGTCATATCTAGAAGAATCAAACGAGTCATATCTAGAAGAATCAAACGAGTCATATCTAGAAGAATCAAACGAGTCATATCTAGAAGAATCAAACGAGTCATATCTAGAAGAATCAAACGAGTCATATCTAGAAGAATCAAACGAGTCATATCTAGAAGAATCAAACGAGTCATATCTAGAAGAATCAAACGAGTCATATCTAGAAGAATCAAACGAGTCATATCTAGAAGAATCAAACGAGTCATATCTAGAAGAATCAAACGAGTCATATCTAGAAGAATCAAACGAGTCATATCTAGAAGAATCAAACGAGTCATATCTAGAAGAATCAAACGAGTCATATCTAGAAGAATCAAACGAGTCATATCTAGAAGAATCAAACGAGTCATATCTAGAAGAATCAAACGAGTCATATCTAGAAGAATCAAACGAGTCATATCTAGAAGAATCAAACGAGTCATATCTAGAAGAATCAAACGAGTCATATCTAGAAGAATCAAACGAGTCATATCTAGAAGAATCAAACGAGTCATATCTAGAAGAATCAAACGAGTCATATCTAGAAGAATCAAACGAGTCATATCTAGAAGAATCAAACGAGTCATATCTAGAAGAATCAAACGAGTCATATCTAGAAGAATCAAACGAGTCATATCTAGAAGAATCAAACGAGTCATATCTAGAAGAATCAAACGAGTCATATCTAGAAGAATCAAACGAGTCATATCTAGAAGAATCAAACGAGTCATATCTAGAAGAATCAAACGAGTCATATCTAGAAGAATCAAACGAGTCATATCTAGAAGAATCAAACGAGTCATATCTAGAAGAATCAAACGAGTCATATCTAGAAGAATCAAACGAGTCATATCTAGAAGAATCAAACGAGTCATATCTAGAAGAATCAAACGAGTCATATCTAGAAGAATCAAACGAGTCATATCTAGAAGAATCAAACGAGTCATATCTAGAAGAATCAAACGAGTCATATCTAGAAGAATCAAACGAGTCATATCTAGAAGAATCAAACGAGTCATATCTAGAAGAATCAAACGAGTCATATCTAGAAGAATCAAACGAGTCATATCTAGAAGAATCAAACGAGTCATATCTAGAAGAATCAAACGAGTCATATCTAGAAGAATCAAACGAGTCATATCTAGAAGAATCAAACGAGTCATATCTAGAAGAATCAAACGAGTCATATCTAGAAGAATCAAACGAGTCATATCTAGAAGAATCAAACGAGTCATATCTAGAAGAATCAAACGAGTCATATCTAGAAGAATCAAACGAGTCATATCTAGAAGAATCAAACGAGTCATATCTAGAAGAATCAAACGAGTCATATCTAGAAGAATCAAACGAGTCATATCTAGAAGAATCAAACGAGTCATATCTAGAAGAATCAAACGAGTCATATCTAGAAGAATCAAACGAGTCATATCTAGAAGAATCAAACGAGTCATATCTAGAAGAATCAAACGAGTCATATCTAGAAGAATCAAACGAGTCATATCTAGAAGAATCAAACGAGTCATATCTAGAAGAATCAAACGAGTCATATCTAGAAGAATCAAACGAGTCATATCTAGAAGAATCAAACGAGTCATATCTAGAAGAATCAAACGAGTCATATCTAGAAGAATCAAACGAGTCATATCTAGAAGAATCAAACGAGTCATATCTAGAAGAATCAAACGAGTCATATCTAGAAGAATCAAACGAGTCATATCTAGAAGAATCAAACGAGTCATATCTAGAAGAATCAAACGAGTCATATCTAGAAGAATCAAACGAGTCATATCTAGAAGAATCAAACGAGTCATATCTAGAAGAATCAAACGAGTCATATCTAGAAGAATCAAACGAGTCATATCTAGAAGAATCAAACGAGTCATATCTAGAAGAATCAAACGAGTCATATCTAGAAGAATCAAACGAGTCATATCTAGAAGAATCAAACGAGTCATATCTAGAAGAATCAAACGAGTCATATCTAGAAGAATCAAACGAGTCATATCTAGAAGAATCAAACGAGTCATATCTAGAAGAATCAAACGAGTCATATCTAGAAGAATCAAACGAGTCATATCTAGAAGAATCAAACGAGTCATATCTAGAAGAATCAAACGAGTCATATCTAGAAGAATCAAACGAGTCATATCTAGAAGAATCAAACGAGTCATATCTAGAAGAATCAAACGAGTCATATCTAGAAGAATCAAACGAGTCATATCTAGAAGAATCAAACGAGTCATATCTAGAAGAATCAAACGAGTCATATCTAGAAGAATCAAACGAGTCATATCTAGAAGAATCAAACGAGTCATATCTAGAAGAATCAAACGAGTCATATCTAGAAGAATCAAACGAGTCATATCTAGAAGAATCAAACGAGTCATATCTAGAAGAATCAAACGAGTCATATCTAGAAGAATCAAACGAGTCATATCTAGAAGAATCAAACGAGTCATATCTAGAAGAATCAAACGAGTCATATCTAGAAGAATCAAACGAGTCATATCTAGAAGAATCAAACGAGTCATATCTAGAAGAATCAAACGAGTCATATCTAGAAGAATCAAACGAGTCATATCTAGAAGAATCAAACGAGTCATATCTAGAAGAATCAAACGAGTCATATCTAGAAGAATCAAACGAGTCATATCTAGAAGAATCAAACGAGTCATATCTAGAAGAATCAAACGAGTCATATCTAGAAGAATCAAACGAGTCATATCTAGAAGAATCAAACGAGTCATATCTAGAAGAATCAAACGAGTCATATCTAGAAGAATCAAACGAGTCATATCTAGAAGAATCAAACGAGTCATATCTAGAAGAATCAAACGAGTCATATCTAGAAGAATCAAACGAGTCATATCTAGAAGAATCAAACGAGTCATATCTAGAAGAATCAAACGAGTCATATCTAGAAGAATCAAACGAGTCATATCTAGAAGAATCAAACGAGTCATATCTAGAAGAATCAAACGAGTCATATCTAGAAGAATCAAACGAGTCATATCTAGAAGAATCAAACGAGTCATATCTAGAAGAATCAAACGAGTCATATCTAGAAGAATCAAACGAGTCATATCTAGAAGAATCAAACGAGTCATATCTAGAAGAATCAAACGAGTCATATCTAGAAGAATCAAACGAGTCATATCTAGAAGAATCAAACGAGTCATATCTAGAAGAATCAAACGAGTCATATCTAGAAGAATCAAACGAGTCATATCTAGAAGAATCAAACGAGTCATATCTAGAAGAATCAAACGAGTCATATCTAGAAGAATCAAACGAGTCATATCTAGAAGAATCAAACGAGTCATATCTAGAAGAATCAAACGAGTCATATCTAGAAGAATCAAACGAGTCATATCTAGAAGAATCAAACGAGTCATATCTAGAAGAATCAAACGAGTCATATCTAGAAGAATCAAACGAGTCATATCTAGAAGAATCAAACGAGTCATATCTAGAAGAATCAAACGAGTCATATCTAGAAGAATCAAACGAGTCATATCTAGAAGAATCAAACGAGTCATATCTAGAAGAATCAAACGAGTCATATCTAGAAGAATCAAACGAGTCATATCTAGAAGAATCAAACGAGTCATATCTAGAAGAATCAAACGAGTCATATCTAGAAGAATCAAACGAGTCATATCTAGAAGAATCAAACGAGTCATATCTAGAAGAATCAAACGAGTCATATCTAGAAGAATCAAACGAGTCATATCTAGAAGAATCAAACGAGTCATATCTAGAAGAATCAAACGAGTCATATCTAGAAGAATCAAACGAGTCATATCTAGAAGAATCAAACGAGGGCCCTCCAGGACCGAGTTTGGGCACCCCTGCTCTAGAAGAATCAAAGGAGTCATACTCTAGAAGAATCAAAGGAGTCATATGCTATAAGAATCAAATAAGTCATATTCTAGATTATAACAATCAAATGAATCAATATGCTATAAGAATCAAACGATTCAACGAGCCATATTATACAAGTATTAAATGAGTCATATTCTATAAGAATCAACTGACTCAGATTCTACCAGTATTAAATGAGTCATATTCTATAATAATCAAACAAGTCACATTTTAAAAATTTAAAGAACTATTTTATAAGTATTAAAGGAAACAATCTATAAGAATCAAACGAGTCATATTCTATGAATCAAACAAGTTTATATTATTATATAAATATGAAATGATGTACACTTTAAGAATGAAAGGAGTCATATTCTAAAAAACAAGTCAAATTTTATACTTCTGAAGCATTTTATTGTTCAACTGAAATGTCTTTCTGTTGTTTAGAAGTTAACTGTCTTTGTAACCTTTAAGAGCCTACATGGACAATTAAATGTATTTAAAATAATGTTACAATGAAAAAAAAAAAGTTTTAAAAATACCTTAATTTTCTTTATGAAAAAACATATTTTTCATTTTATATTAATGGTTTATTTATTGGATTTTCAAATATATTTATTTATTTATTGGTTGGATTTTTAAATTTATTTATTTAGTTATTTTATTTTAAAAATAGCTCCTTTTATGAAAAATATAAAATTTATTTTTATTTTATATCTATTTTTTATTTATTGGATTTTTAAATGCATTTATTTATATTGTATTTTATTGTTTATAATTAAACCATTTTTGTTACTACACCTTTATGATTTCTGTATGAACAATTAAATATATTCAATGTTCATGAAAATAAAGTTGCAATGCAAAAATAAATAAATAAACAAAAGGTTCCTATAACAGCTTTTCAAAATTTAGTTTAATGAAAATATACATTTTTAAAATGTTATATCTTTTTTAATTTACTGAAATTGTAATTATTTTATTTGTTTATTTTATATCTTTTTAGCATTAATGTAAAGGTTTGATTTCATGAATAAATATGTTGGGGCGAATGATTCAAAGATTCACTCCGAATTCTCAAACTCTCACTGGTTTCCATCTACTGGTGCATCACTGAACAACTGTGAACGAGTCTTTTTGTTGAACAGAATCAAAAGATTCAGATCACTGGGATGAATCTCAATCTGCAGTACTAAAGCTTGGTGCTCTTTTGAGTTTGGTAGTCAAAGTAAATAAACACAGTAACAGAGACAGAATAATTACAAATGTAAGCATTTACGTTTCTGAGCTTGTTTAACGCTTGTTTCTTGTTGCCATCATGGTAGGCCAGCAGACTCTGGAGCAGATAGAGCCTCAGAAACAGCACGTCCTCTCCTCCGGTGTGACCCTGAGAGCCAGAAACACATGACATACGCTGTAAACACACGCGTGTGTGTGATGTGAAGCTCAGCGTTCAGATGCTCGAGGTGTTGTTCAGACCTTGATCTGCTGCAGACGGCTCTGCTGCTCTCCGTAGCATCTCTTGAAGCAGTCCTCGGCTCGTTCCAGACGCTGTCTGGCATCGTTCAGACAGTCGAGCTGCTGCAGAGCCTGATAACACCAAACCACATCCAGCTGCAGAACAGCGTAGTTATCCACCGTCCTCAGCAGCGCCGAGTTACACTTACTGCACAACACACACATAACAAACACAGGAGATGCACTCAATGATCACAGCACAGCACTGGATTAACACTCCACAAGTCTTAAACTAATCAAATCAGTCATAGTCTATTGGAATGAAAGGAGCTGCATTCTACAAGATTCAAATGAGTCGTATTGTATAAGAATCAAATGAGTCATATTCTGAGAATCTAACCAGCTTTATTCTATAAGAACCAAATGCGTCATATTCTACAAGAATCAAAGGAGTTGTGTAATATAAGAATCAAATGAGTCATATTCTAAGAATCGAACAAGCCATATTCTACAAGATTCAAAGGTGTCATATTCTATAAGAATCAAATGAGTCATATTCTGAGAATCTAACCAGCTTTATTCTATAAGAACCAAATGCGTCATATTCTACAAGAATCAAAGGAGTTGTGTAATATAAGAATCAAATGAGTCATATTCTAAAAATCAAACAAGCCACATTCTACAAGAATCAAAGGTGTCATATTCTATAAGATTCAAATTAGTCATATTCTATAAGAATCAAATGAGTCATATTCTAAGAATCTAACCAGCTGTAATATTCTACAAGAATCAAAGGAGTTGAATCAAATGAGTCATATTCTAAGAATCAAACAATCCATATTCTACAAGAATCAAAGGTGTCGCATTCTATAAGATTTAAATGAGTCGTATTCTATAAGATTCAAATGAGTCATATTCTATAAGAATCAAATGAGTCATATTCTAAGAATCAAACAATCCATATTCTACAAGAATCAAAGGTGTCGCATTCTATAAGATTTAAATGAGTCGTATTCTATAAGAATCAAATGAGTCATATTCTATCACTGAACAACTGTGAACGAGTCTTTTTGTTGAACAGAATCAAAAGATTCAGATCACTGGGATGAATCTCAATCTGCAGTACTAAAGCTTGGTGCTCTTTTGAGTTTGGTAGTCAAAGTAAATAAACACAGTAACAGAGACAGAATAATTACAAATGTAAGCATTTACGTTTCTGAGCTTGTTTAACGCTTGTTTCTTGTTGCCATCATGGTAGGCCAGCAGACTCTGGAGCAGATAGAGCCTCAGAAACAGCACGTCCTCTCCTCCGGTGTGACCCTGAGAGCCAGAAACACATGACATACGCTGTAAACACACGCGTGTGTGTGATGTGAAGCTCAGCGTTCAGATGCTCGAGGTGTTGTTCAGACCTTGATCTGCTGCAGACGGCTCTGCTGCTCTCCGTAGCATCTCTTGAAGCAGTCCTCGGCTCGTTCCAGACGCTGTCTGGCATCGTTCAGACAGTCGAGCTGCTGCAGAGCCTGATAACACCAAACCACATCCAGCTGCAGAACAGCGTAGTTATCCACCGTCCTCAGCAGCGCCGAGTTACACTTACTGCACAACACACACATAACAAACACAGGAGATGCACTCAATGATCACAGCACAGCACTGGATTAACACTCCACAAGTCTTAAACTAATCAAATCAGTCATAGTCTATTGGAATGAAAGGAGCTGCATTCTATAAGATTCAAATGAGTCGTATTGTATAAGAATCAAATGAGTCATATTCTGAGAATCTAACCAGCTTTATTCTATAAGAACCAAATGCGTCATATTCTACAAGAATCAAAGGAGTTGTGTAATATAAGAATCAAATGAGTCATATTCTAAAAATCAAACAAGCCACATTCTACAAGAATCAAAGGTGTCATATTCTATAAGATTCAAATTAGTCATATTCTATAAGAATCAAATGAGTCATATTCTAAGAATCTAACCAGCTGTAATATTCTACAAGAATCAAAGGAGTTGAATCAAATGAGTCATATTCTAAGAATCGAACAAGCCGTATTCTACAAGATTCACAGGTGTTGTATTCTATAAGACTTAAATGAGTCATATTCTATAATAATCAAATGAGTCATATTCTAAGAATCAAACAATCCATATTCTACAAGAATCAAAGGTGTCGCATTCTATAAGATTTAAATGAGTCGTATTCTATAAGAATCAAATGAGTCATATTCTAAGAATCAAACAATTTGTATTCTAAAAGAATCAAACATGCCATATTCTACGAGAATCAAAAGTGTCACATTCCGTAAGATTTAAATGAGTCGTATTCCATAAGAATCAAATGAGTCATATTCTAAGAATCAAACAATCCATATTCTACAAGAATCAAAGGTGTCGCATTCTATAAGATTTAAATGAGTCGTATTCTATAAGATTCAAATGAGTCATATTCTATAAGAATCAAATGAGTCATATTCTATAATAATCAAATGAGTCATATTCTAAGAATCAAACAATCCATATTCTACAAGAATCAAAGGTGTCGCATTCTATAAGATTTAAATGAGTCGTATTCTATAAGAATCAAATGAGTCATATTCTATAAGAATCAAATGAGTCATATTCTATAAGAATCAAATGAGTCATATTCTATAAGAATCAAATGAGTCATATTCTATAAGAATCAAATGAGTCATATTCTA